TGTCGTAACTTCGAATTGCATTCGAAACGATTCGAATCCTCGCGGTGTCGAACTTTTAACGGTATCCTTCGGAAATTAAGAATCGAAGCAATTACTAGGCACGCGTGTTACACAGACAGATATACGGACGCTGGTGTAATTAAGCCGCAGCGTATTCGCTTTTCGAGAAAAGTTAACGCGCGGTAGTCCAGGGAATCAAGTTGGACCTCGCGAACACCTACGGTCCCCGCGTGCGTCGTTCTTTTTCAGGCTTAATATTTCAACTGACCGATCGGCCGTCCCCGGGGGCCTGTCGCTAACTTTCATAACTCATCGCCGCGTAACAACCCTTTTCGAGCTAACGGGAGCGGCGGAGCGCGAGGCTAGGGTGGCGAGGCGCGTTGAATCAAACTCTAATCCCGTCTAAATCGGGACGGCGCGATAAATCCGGTATGATTTAATTACGAGTCGTCGCGGTGCTATTCCCAAGTATTTAACTTAATCACCGATGTTAATGCGCCGGCATTAATCTCCGAAGTCGTTGCTGCCGGCTTGCCGCGTCCGTTCAACCGAGCCAGCGTCCTAACGAGTTTCTTCCGTTGCGTCCAAGACGCTCGCCCGCCGATAGCTTTCGTCGCTAAATCGACCGGGAATCGAATTAACCGTTTGATCGGTACGCGCTTCTTACGATAGCCGCGATTCCCGGCTCGATTAATTCCGTATTTGGTCACGGAAACCCGCCGAGATGGAAGTAGATCGAGATTGCCGTGATTGGTCTCCGGGAAGTGGTGCTAGGATCGGAGATGGAAATCTACCGCGGAAACGAGGAACGCGATTTATTCGTAATTTATCCAGCGTTTTGTACCGCTCGTGTCGAAAAAGGGAAAACACGCGGGGGTTAAAGCCGGATCGCGGGATCGTTAAAAAATCATAGGACGGCGCGCGAAGAAGGGAATGACGCGCTAAGCACCTCGGCCGAGACATATTTCAATCCCGTTGCACGGGTCGCCTGAATAACCAAGAGCGATCAACCACGGGTAGATCATAAATCAAGCAGCGATTCTGCGAGTGGCACTTAGGCGGTCTTAGGCTGCATTATTCATGTAGCGCGCGGAAACAAACTTGGGGCCAAGTTTCGCGTTCGAGAGTTTGATCCGACAGATCAAACAGCATCGCGACCCTCCGCGCGCAACACCCCGCGAATCTCGCTAATGTCTCGAAACGAAAACGTTTCTACTCGGAACGTGAACGCGGCCAGATCGATACCGTTTTCGCGCGTGCATCGCACCCCCGTCGATTAGAGCACCGCGCGCGCGAACGCGGAGGAAGGAAAGGATAAACGACGGGTCAAGGCGGCGCGATCTAATTCCAACCCCCATGCAAATCGAGGCCCTTAACTGGCCAACGTGTTTCGACCCTTGACACTCGCCCTCGCGGGGTCGCGACGCAGCATCCGACCCGGTTCCTTCGGTCCTCCCGCTGACTTAAATTAACCCCTGGTCCGCTTCCAGGCAACCCCGTTTCACTCGCGTCACTCGTTATTTCCCCGTTTCCTGCCCGGCTGTTCCCGAGCATCGGGGTCGATTTCAACGACCGGCGCGAAATTACTCGTCGCGATAATGGAAAACATCGGGGAAACAGCGTGAACTGCGACGCCGGCCGTTCTCTTTCACCCCGCTCGCGTGGTCGTCATCCTTAACGATGATTATCTCGATGGAGCGTGGTAGGAAGCTATCGCGCGAATCGATTCGTGGAAGCGACGCAGACGATTACGCTAACCCGGAAAGAGCGTTTCGACGAGGCGAAAAAATTTCATTCACTGGTCGGTACACGCGCACGAATGGAAACCGTGTCGCGGCGTTAATCAGAGCCTGACGGTGCAATAGCGTTACGCCTCACGCGAGCAGCGATCGAATCGGATCTCGAACCACGCCGTTCAACGGTCCCACTCGGAAGCACGGCTGCACTGGAAGAAAGGAAAAGCTCGATCGCGTCCCGGTCGCGGTGAAACGCCATTAGCATATCAAAGGCGGCCGCGATATCGCGAAACTCTCCAAACTTTCGATTCTCCTCCGCATCTTTCACCGCGTTGTCGCTTTCCTCTAGCTTCTCCGCCCCCTCCCGTGCCCCGATTCTCCGCGCGAAGAAACTCTCCTGCGAAAACGGGATTCGTCTCCGTTTCGCCGGGAAAGTGGGGGAGACGCGGGCCCCGGCGTGTTCCTGTCTCGCGGGACGAAACGTTGGTCGTAAATTCGGAAAGGAGGGCGAAAGGGTGGCGCGTGGAAACGATTTCGGGTTAAGCCGGCCGGACGGTCGCGGAGGGTGTGTCATTGCCGTTCACGGATGAATGTCGTCGGAGTTGTAATTGCAACGAGGCGTAATTAGTTTTGGAAATTTAATTATTTCCGGGCGGGGCGCACGGCCGCGCGATAAACGCCGCCGGCGGAAGCCTTTCGACGAAGAATTATCGGAGGACTTTCCCACGTAGCAGCCGTTAATCCCGCTTCGAGCAACCTCCGGCCAATGGAAAATCGCGCAGTTTCGAAACCTCCGCGCTTCGCGCCGTTCCCCCACCGCGCCGCGGTGCAGCGTCTCGTCGGCTTTTCCGCTTCGCGTAATCCGACGACAAGCGTCATTCGTCGCTTTGTTAATCAACCTCGATCGCCTAGGGACACGTCTAATTTCAGGCCGCCAGGCGCGTGTTTTATAGCCGATCGATGCTCCTTCCCGGGGAAATTGTCGGCGAAATTGTCGACGAAATTGTCGGCAAAAGTCCAAGGTCACGCGATCCGGCTATTACTCTCGTCTAAGAAAATTGTCTCTAAACGTCGCATTATGTCGTGGGTGCTTCGAGTATTTTTAATTTCGCTGCAAAATGTACCAGGTACAACGTATACCACGAACGCGTGGAAGAAAGTTGCCTTTACCGATCCGATCGGATTTCTAAACCACTCCTGTATCTTTGCTCGCGAAATCTGTTAACCGAACCGATCCCGATCGCTATCGTATCTCGTCTATTTTCGCCAGACATTCGGCAATTTTTCGTTACTCGTACGATCCCTCGACGATTACGCGGGCGAGACCAGCTGCTCAAGGCCGCTCTTCTCGACGCTCGTTCTCGACTATTGCTCCGAGATTTTTACGGAGCTATCCGCGTCACCGTGCAGTTCTCCGCGCAGTTGCAAACGAGAAGAAAAAGCGGCGATTGTAAACATTCGTCGGTCGCGATCGACGGTGCATAACGAAGCGAATGCTAATCGCGAAGCGGTTACAAAACTTTCTCATGCGTCACACCGGTGTTCCTTGAACACACGTTTCCGCGCTCCGTGTCCGTGTAACGCGTGTACCGAGATAACCGAGATCAGGCCCGAGCAAATGCACCGTTAGCGCGTTGCGAACCGGGACTATTGCTTTTCTTCCACCGGGTCGTTTTTCTGCCACGGGATGACGAAGCACGTTCGATCGTTTCTTTCCTACCACCCGTTCACGAGTTTGCGACACGTTCCGCGAAACGACCAGCGAAACGAAATGAAACGATGCGATTGAAAATGCGCGGGAAAATCATTTCGTGGACGAATCGGCCGAAAAATTTCGCGGTCGATGGGCGATAGGGCGTAATGGAACAAAAGAAGGCGAATGATGGCGAATACTTTTCATATATTCGCGACACGCGGGCCGATTGCTTTGCACAGCACTCGACAGCCGCGTTACAACCCCCGTTTATTGGAAAACACCGGTGAACCAATATTGATCCAGCGAATGTAGGAAAACAATCGGTGTGACGTGCGCAACAATACCGTGATACGATTAAATATGTACCTACGACAATTCGATTCTATTAATTTAGACGTCGCGCAACTGCCCCGTATTTATCGAGCTCCGCACCCCTGCCGGCCTATTACGAGCCCCGACTCCGCCAGCCTTTTTGTCCTCGCCGCCATTATGCAAACGCGTCGATCGAGTTTTTAGATATTCATGCGTGCACCGGCTCGCGGCTACGGTTTCGTCGCTCAGCCGACTTTGAGGAGTTCAACCCCTGCGAACGCGAGACTCAACCCCTTCTCGCTCGAGCGGGGCCCATTCTTGCCACCAAAGAGCGCAGCGTCCCTCGTGCGAAGGGTGCTGGATCGAAAGGTTCCGAGCGCGTGTTTTCGTTGCACGCGTGTCCCGCGATTGCGTTTTGAGAAATTAATGGCGGGCCGCGGCCGGATCCGCGCGTTCGTTGTATCCGTTGCCGCGAATTCTAAGAACGAATGCGGACGACAGGCTGAAAAATTTATATCGAGCTCGACCGGTGTTACCCCGCTGCGCGAGACCGTTCCCAGTCAACCGGCCGTCTTTTCAAACGGATCTTTACAAAAGCTGTCTCTCCCCGGAGCTTTGTCCGGGCCCCCGACACGCCACAGCCTCAAACCTCCGCCCCTTTCCCGTTCATGAATCTTTGAGAGTTCATCGCGAACCTGGGAATCGGCGCTGTCTTCTTTTGTTTCCACGGTTTCGGCGTGCCGTCAGCTGGGAGCACGCGTCGCAAGGGCGATCAATGGGATCTTTTGTACGAGCTTCGTTGATTAGGCAGATCTCGCTGCTTCTCGAGATCTTCGTGGCTGTTGCGACTGTTTAAAATATCTCCTTCTTTTCTTCCTTTTCCTTCTCTTCTCTTCTCTTCTCTTCTTTTTTCTCTCGTCGCGCTGTTTCTTTTATTTTTTCTTTTTCCGTTCCGCGGAATCGACGGGTCGGTGAATGTACGACGCACGGGTTCGACGCACAGCGGATGAATTACGTCCGTGCGGACGCGGCAATTAGGCGATAATCGATACGAATTTCTCGCGACGGATAAACCCCAGGGGAAAACGGATCCATCGATTTCCTTGTTACTCGTAATAAAAGCTCACTCGGAGCCCGGTGTCCGCTGTCCGTGGGAAAAATAATTCTCCCGGGGACAAGAAAAGCGGCGGCCGTAAGCTCCTTAACCGTCGGCGAAGAAGTTTGTAACGAAGCCCATTTTTCTCGTTCTGTTTCAGCAATCATGGCGCACTTCTTCTTCCTCGCTGCGTTCTTCTGGCTGAACACGATGTGCTTCAACATCTGGTGGACGTTCAGGTGAGTCTTGCCTCCCTTTTGTCTGGTCGTCCGTGGCCGGGGGTTGGAGAAGCGCGGGAACGGATCTGCGGCGGAAGATTTCGCCACGTGTGTACTCTTCCGTGTCACTGCCCTCGAATCGAATCCACGAGCGATTGTGCCGCGTTAAGATTTATTCGTTCGTGGCTTTCCCCCGTTTCCCTTTTTTTTAATTTTCTCCGCACGACGGCCGCCGTCGTCGTCGTCGTGGTCTTTCGAGGCGCGCGGGGAAACCGTTCGAAACGGTGGCGCGAGCGTCTGGGAAAATGGCGACCGAGGACCGGTCGAGCCGTGTCGTCACGTCGCAATTAAGCGTCCGTTTGGCGGACGAGTGGCGAACAGGGAGACAGGACGACGAGGTAAAAATTATGAAAATTCGTCAGGCGTAATTGCCAGGGAATTTCAGTGGCGAAACGAGGCTGGTAACGGGAGCGTAGAGTCGGGGGCCGCCCCTCCCTGTTCCGAAGCGAGTAACCCCGGTGGTTTGTGTGTACGCCGTTAATTAACACCGGGCTGTGCAGGTTATCGACCTGGCCGAGTTTCGCGTTAGCCGCGTCGCGTCTTCGATCAGAAGGCCACCACTCGTTACCTCGCAATTATGCAATTGCCGCGCAATTACGCAAGCCGCAGCGCGCCGCCTGGCAAATAATTCATCGCGTTCGCGGATAAATCGCGTGCGAAGACACCGAACGCGGCAGAGTATCCGGAGCCGTTATTCTTTCCCGCGGACGCGAACCAACCGAAAGCGGACGACGATCGCGGGAAATCGTTAAGCGAGATCGCTCGCAGCGGTCGGCGAACCGTGACCTCGCACGCTCTCATGGTCTACTCTCGTCTTCTCTCGTCTTCTATGCCGTTGCCTCGCGAATTATCGTAATTCGTTATTATCATCCGGCAATAACGGTTCGCGGCGGTGGTTTACGCGGCATGGAGAACGCGGTTGACCTTTACGCGAGAGGAACGCTCGCGCGCGGCACCTGCGAGGAATCGCTGCCGGCGATGCGTTTTCGCGGTGAGAACGCGTTACGGCGAGCGTGTACGCGGGTGCAAACTATCGGTGCAAACTGGATAGAGCGACGCTGACGACCGAGAGGAGGAGCGCGCGCGCGCGCGCGCGGTGATCGTTAGTGGCCGGATCACGTTTGAGTCGAAGGATCGAAAGGGGAAGAAGCAGGGCGCCGTCGCGGTGAGAGATGGGATCAAGATCACTCGGTCGACTGGTTAATGCGATGCAACACGGTCGCCATAACGGGCCCTTCCCTTCTCTTCTTCCACCTCTTCTTCCTCCTCTCGCTCCATTTCTTTTCCCTTCCGATCCTTCCACCGTTTCTCGTTTCTCACCTTTTTCCTCCACCAGCTTTCAGCTTCTTTGCCGCGCCGTACCTTCCTCTCGGACGTCTTACTGCTCTTGGACCTCGGTTCCCTCTCTATTTCAACTGTCCGTCCGCTTTTTCCCCTGTCCCGCGTTCGTCTTCCTCGCTCGGCGATCTCGTCCTCGCTCGATCCCTCAATCCGCGAACGCGACCAGCGTCGTCTCCTCTTTCGCACCGGTTCAAGCGAATCCTGTCCAATTAAGCGTGCCTCGTGACTGCATCTCCACCGTTTTCTTCCCCGTTTATACCACTCGGCGAGGTATTCCGTCATCTCGATACGGATAAAAGTCCACGCCATCGCGGAGATACCTGACCCAACCATTATCCAACTCCGCTATTCGGATGCTCCGATTCCTCTTGCCAAAATTTCTCTCCGAAATTTTATCTTTCCGAAATTGAACAACTCTCCCGAGGTAGCCGTCGAAACGAAAAAACGAGACGTAATTTATAGCGACAACTTTCGCGAACGCGCCGCGTATCGGCGATCTAGCACCGCGAGTTAGCAGTGCGCGTCACGTCGGATCGCGAAACGATCCAATTCCCGAAATACCCGGTCCGAGTCCGGTGCATCCGCATCGATGACTCCGACTTTCCTCGGTTCCGTTACACTTTTATCAGCGATTTTCGCGTGACGTGCACACACGGATGAAACGTGTCAGCGACACGTGCGCACGCGTTGTATCCACTTGTTGAGGTGTCACCGACACGTTGCGTTTACGCTAGCTGCTCGGCTCCGTGATTTTCCAGCCGGAAAATTAGCCCGGTGTCATTTGCGGCTGTGCAGCGGCGTTTTGCGCGATCCACCCTAGCGGATAACCCGATTCACCGCCGGTTCTTCCCCACAGCGAGGTCATTCCTGCCGCCCGCTGGTTTAGTCCCTCGAATATTCGAAAGGAGCTTTTCACGGGAGAAACAACCGGTGACGCAATCGACGATAACTTATCGAATTTAATTAGCAGCGTTATGAGAGCCTTCGTAATTGGCCCGGTTGAGCAACGTCGTCGAGAGACTCTCTGGTAGCCCGGGAAACCGATTGCGTCACCGGACCAGTCCTGCTCGTATACGCGCGTCGAGTGTCGGTGTAATTTCTTTGTTTCCAAAGCTATTACCCGGTTAGGCGATATATACCGGTCAGGTCCACTAACCGGGTTTTCGCGCGCGTTAACCTTTTCGAGGAGGCCTTGTGTACGCGCGCACGCTCGGCGAGGAGAAAATTGCGCGCGCGATTAGCGGTAGCCAAGCGTCAACGGGGAGTCGATCCCATCGCGTCACGCTTAATCGGCTGGCCAAGGCAGCTGGCCCGTGGAACATCTCAAACAGCCCCACAGCTTCTTCTCGCTTCTCTTACTCCGGAGATGAGCCTCTCCAAGTTGCCGGCGTTGCTGGCTGAACGCGCGCGCATTTTCTGAGAAATTCTTCAATTACCTAACGTCTAGCAGATTCCCACGGTCAGCGCAGTCGTTGCGCGCACGTATGTACGCGGACATGCAGGCATACGCGCGGGTCTTCTACGACGGGGCTGACCTCGTCGCTCGCAATTCCTGCCGGCTGCTGTTGCTGCTGCTGTTGCTACCGCTGATGCTTCTGCCGTTGCTTGCTACTCGCTCTCTCGACTGCCGACGTTGCGTGCACTCAGCGAGAGAGCGTTTCTTCTCTAAACGAATTTGCATTCTAGAAGCCGGCTGGCACGGTCGCGGTAAGGCTCGTCGAAAGATTTCCCTGCGAGAGCCGACGATGCTCGAGAGTGTCCTTTTATGCTTGTTCGCGAGCTCCTCGGAAGCCGGGGGAAGAAGAACGGGTCCGGATTTTCGCCGGAAAAATTTCTCCACGAGGGAACTCGCTGCGAAATTGCTCGTTGAGATATTCCATAGGCCTACGGTGTCTCTCTGTCACTCTTCCTCTCGCTCTGTCCTTTTCCTCGTTTATTTTCTTCGTACAGACGTGGAAACGTCACGGAGATGCCGAGAGGGAGCTCACCCAATCGGCTCCGATCGCTCGGAGAGTTTGGTCACGAGGATGCGACCTCTGGGAAGCTTAATGGAAATCGTTGGGGCGAAAAAGCACGGATTCGTCCCTGGACTCGAGCAGAGGTTCGATCGGTCATTGTCAGCGACGAAGAAACGCCTAATCTCGATGCCCGGCTGCGAAACAATGGTCAGGCCGCAGGACAGAACGGGGAACAAAGGCGGAATGTGTCGTCTGAGGATCGTGGTCAAGTATATTGGCCTGTGGCGGTGTGTGTACGCGTACGTGTCGGTCGTTAAGGTCTCCACTGTTCTCGAAGAGTGGCTCATTAACTTCGTTTATCTCGTCCCCGATAGCTGCATCTGGGACTCGGCTTCTTTGGCTATACAAGATCGCGCTCCCCCGTTAGCCAGTTAATAGCGTCGACGAAAGTGTCCCGGTAGGTCTTGACGAAATTCTTCGCGAAATTCTCACCTCTACTCCGTGCCACCGTCCGTTTCTCAGACGATTTGGGTCGTTTCAAATTCACCCTAACCTAGGCCTGGTACACAAGAGACTCTAGCACGCTTCGGAGCTAATATTACTCGCGACGAGGTGGATCCAGATTCATCGCATGGTAGGTCAAAGATATGGCGCGTGGTAGTCGGAGCAGATGGTAAATTGATAGAAACGAGCGGAATCTGTAATCGGCGACCGGTCGTTGCCAAGATTCGTTTTCATAACGAGAAAGTTTGCTTGTGTCGGGCGTGCAACATCGTCGCCCGAAGGCGATACCGGCAGAGTTGGCAAGCATGGCGGAAAAAAGAAGAGGAAAAGGGAGTTCGAGAGACGCTTCGGGGACGTGATCAAGAACACCGGCCGGTCTGTCGTGGCGCGCATCCCAACGAAGCTTGATTAAGGTCCCTTCTGTTCTCGAACACAGTAGCTCATTAATTCCGTTATCTCATTTTCTGCAGTCACCGGATCTCTTGACCAGCGGATCGAATCAATTGCCCTCGTATCCCCTCTGTCGCGCAGCTGAAAAACGCGCGGAAATTTTCATATCGTCCCGAGGAGAGGCTCCGCTCCGGCTCGCAGGCGTTAGAAAATCGACCTAGCCGTCGATCGCGTATAAATAGATTTAATTCTCGTTCACGGACGACTCGTCGGTGCGGCGAGCCGATGCCAATAGGGGTAGGGGTCGAAACGCCTTTTGCGTTTCTCCACGAATTTCGCGACCGAATTACTTTCTCGTTAGAATCGAAATCTCTAATCGAATCGAAGGGTCCAAGTCACGCGTGGTTCCAAAAATTTCGCAGCAGTCGTTTCCCTGTATCCTCGAACGAATCTTCTTCGAGAGCTCTGACAGAGTCGCGTCTGAGTTCCGCGGACCAAACGTTTAGTTTAATTCCCTCGAACGTCCGACTAATTAATCGAATTAAACAGTTGCCGTGGATCCCCTTGCGACTTCACCGGAAGCAGTGCTCGAAACGCGCTGTCTTCTTTCGTAGGACCGTGTAACACCCATGAACAGCGCGGATTACCAGAGGATCTGGAAGAGACTTCCAGTTCGATGGCTCTTGAAGGGGGAATTCTCTGGGCGCGGGTAAATTAGTTTAACTCGACGAGTGGGTACGTAGTCTTGCCGGTCTCGATCCAGCAAAC